TCTCTCTCTCTCGAGCTCTCGCCCTTTTCTCTCTCTCTCGAGCTCTCGCCCTTTTCTGTCTCTCTCTCGAGCTCTCGCCCTTCACACTCTCTCTCTCTCTGTCTCAAGCTCTTGCACTTCACTTTCTCTCTGTGTGTGGGAGGCAGATTTCAAATGTTTCCAATGACCAGCTGATTGTGTACATACTCCATTCTGTTTTGCTCACCAGCATGATTTGTATTAGGTACTGATTTACTGCACATGTGATGGCTAATGTTAGCTGGTTATAATAACATACTCCTGTGACCATAGGTTTGGAGAAAACATGATCTTGCATATGAAAGGTAACTTCCTTCTTAAAAATGTTTATTTTTGATAAACCCATTTTAAGTTTTTCCAATGTTACTGCACGAGGTTACCATTCGTTAAGTTTTTGGTTATGCATATGATTTGAATTAAAAACCTGAATTGTAACCTTACAAGTGCAGTTTTGAGAGCATTTTGACTACAATTTCTCAATTGTTCCCAAAGCAGAAACACTACCTCAGTTTTTTTTTTTGGCATGGTAGCTGTCTTGTTCAAACCGTCCATATGCATATGAAATTGCAGAGGTGAGGTGAGAGTGAGAACCCTTGACATCAAGGCAGCATTGAACCAAGTGTGGCATCAAGGAGCTCTAGTAAAACTGCCATCAGTGGGTATCAGGGCAAACTCTTGCTGTTTGGAGTCATATTTCATACATAGGAAGATGATTGTGCTTGTTGGATCAATTATCTCAGCAGGATTTCCTCAGGGTATTGTCCTAGGCCCAACCATCTTCAGCTGCTTCATCAATGACCTTCGGTTCATCATAAGGTCAGAAGTGGGGACGTTCGCTGACAATTGCATAATGTTCAGCACCATTCACCCCTCCCCAGGTGCTGAAGTGCTCCATATTCAAATGCAACAAGATCTGGATAAAATCAAGGTTTGGGCTGACAAGTGGCAAATAACATTCACATCACACAAATGTCAGGCAAAGATCATCTCCAATAAAAGACAAATCTAAATACAGTCCCTTGACATTCAATCGTGTTACCAGCATTGAATTCCCCACTGTAAGCATCCTGGGGGTTACCATTGACCAGAAACTCAACTGGACTCGCCACATAATCACAATAGCTACAGAGTAGATCAGAGGCTATGAAAACTGCAGCAAGTAACTCACCTTCTGACTCCCCAAAGCCTGTCCACCATCCCTAAGACACAAGTCACGAGTGTGATGGAATACTCCCCAGTTGCCTGCCGGGTGCAGCTCCGACAATGTTCAAGCTTGACACCATCCAGTACAAAGCAGCCCTTTTGATTGGCACTACATCCACAAGCATCTACTCATTCCACCACCAACACTCACTAGCAGCAATATGTAATGTCTACAAGTCGCACTGCAAAAAAATCACCAAAGATCCTGAGACAGCACCTTAGAAATCCACAACCATTTCCATCTAGAAGGACAAGGGCAGCAGTTACATGAGAATGCCACCTCCTGTAAGTTCCCTTCCAAGCCACTCACTATCCTGACTTGAAATATTTCGCCATACCTTCAAATCTGGGGATTGGGAGTATTTTAGAATTCAGCGAAGGATGACAAAAAATTTTGATCAAAAGGGGGAAATAAGGTATGAAAGTAAAATTGTAAGGACATAAAAACTGATCGTAAAAGCTTCTTTAAATGAGTGAAGAGAAAAAACTTAATAAAGATAAGTGAAGATCTCTTTATAGGAAAAGTAAGGGAAATTATAATGAGGAACAAAGAATTAGCAAAGAATCAAACAAATACTTTGGGTGGTCTGTCTTCACAAAAGAGAGCACAAATAACCTCCCAGATGTATTACAAAACTAACAGTCCTATAATGATGGAATTGAAGGATATTGGTATTAGGAAGAGAATGATGCTAGGAACCTAATGGAGTTAAAGATTGACAAATCGCAGGGCCTAATAATCTACATTTCAAAGTACTAAAGGAAGTTGCCCTGGAAATATTAGATACATTGGTGGTCATCTGAAGCAGTTCTTACAGATTTGAAGGTGGCAAATGTAACACCATTATTTAAGAAGGGAAGGAGAGGAAAAAATACAGAATAAAATCCAATTAGCCTAACACTAGCAATGGAGAAAATGTTAGATTCTATTCTGAAAAAATATGATAGTGGAACATTTGGAGATCAACAGGATTAGACAAAGCCAGTGTAGCGTTATGAAAAGCAAATCACGCTTAACAAATTTACTGGAGTTTTTTGAGGATGTGATAAGTAGAATTGATAAGGGAGAACCAGTGGATGTGTGGTGTATTTGGATCTTCAGAAGGCTTTTGATAAGGTTCTTCAGAAGAGGTTAGTGGGCAAAATTAAAGCACATAGAATAAGAGGTAATAAATTGACATGGTTCAAGAATTGGTTGACAGACAGAAAACAGAACGGGAATAAATGGGCCTTTTTTTTCAAGTAGCAAGCAATGACAAGTGAGATACCACAAGGATCAGTGCTCGAGGCCTCAGCTACCCACAATTGTTATCCCTGGATGAGGGAATCAAATGCAACATTTATAAGTTGGCTGATGACATAAAACCAAGCAAGATTAAGAGTTGTGAGTGTGATGCAAGGAGGCTTCAGGGTGATTGAGACAAGTTGACTAGGTGGCCAAACACATAGCAGGTGCAGTGCAACATGGCTAAATATGAAGTTATACACTTTGGTGAAATAATACAGAAAGGATTAGAGGGTTTGAGCTATAGGGAGAGGCTGAATAGCATGGGACTTTTTCCCCTGGAGCATCAGAGGCTGAGGGGTAACCTTATAGAAATTTATGAAATTATGAGGGGCACAGTAAGGGTGAATAGCCAAGGTCTTTTTCCCAGGATAGGGGAGTCCAAAGCTAGAGGGCATAGGTTAAAGGTGAGAGGGGAAAGATTGAAAAGGGACCTGAGGGGCAACTTTTTCACACAGAGGGTTGTGTGTGTATGGAACAAACTGCCAGAGAAAGTGGTGGAGGTTGGTACAATTACGAAATTTAAAAGGCATCTGGATGGGTACATGAATAGGAATGGTTTAGAGGGATTTCTTTTTTCTTTATTCATTCACGTTATGAGGGCGTTGCTAGCTAGGCAGCATTTATTGCCTATCCCTAATTGCCCAGAGGCCAGTTAAGAGTCAACCACATTGCTGTAGTTCTGGAGTCACATGTAGGCCAGACCAGGTAAGGATGGCAGTTTCCTTCCCTAAAGGACATTAGTGAACCAGATGGGTTTTTCTGACAATCGACAATGGATTCATGGTCATCATTAGATTCTTAATTCCAGATATTTATCGAATTCAAATTCCACCATCTGCCATGATGATTCAAACTCGGGTCCCCAGAACATTATCTGGGTCTCTGAGATGAGAAAAAATATCTCTGAACATATACAAAAAAGATAATTTTTATTTTAGATTTTAAAGACATTAAGGGGTATGGACAGAAAGCAGGAAATATGGCAATGAGGTAGAAGATCAACTATAATCATATTGAATGGTGGAGCAAGCTCAAAGGGCCAAATGATCAACACCAGTTTCTATGTTTCTTGAAACAAAAGAGGAAAACTATCAACTAGGCTCAAGTTAAAAATTTGACGGATACTAAACATCTGGATTTATGCAGCTACAACTCTTCTTTGAAAAAAAAAACTCAACACTATCCAGGGTGGAACAGTCGCTTTGATCAATGAATGGAAAACAAATGCGTTTGACTGAGGATGGGTGATCTGTTCTGCAAGTTATTTTGCAGTAGGTGCTGAAGTTTAAAAATTATCATCTAACTTGTGAGAATTTTGTAGCTTCCTTAAAAGGCAGTGGATGCAGAATCTTTAAATGTTTTTCAGGCACAGGTAGATTTTTAATGACCAAGGGAATTAAAGATTATTGGGGAATGTGTGAGAGCGCAGAGCTGGGGTTAAAATCAGATCAGTTGTGATCTTATTAAATGAGAGAACAGTCTCAAAGTGCAAGGTAGCCTGTTCTTGTTCCATATAAATGATTTGGTTGTGAACATTGAAGGTATGGTTAGTAAGTTTGTAGATGACACCGAAATCGGAGGTGTAGTGGACAGCAAAGAAGGTTACTTCAGAGTACAACAGGACCTTGAACAGATGGGCCAATGGGCTGAGGAGTGGTAGATGGAGTTTAATTTACATAAATGTGAGGTGCTGCATTTTGGAAAGGCAAATCAGAATAGGACTTATACACTTTATGGTAAGGTCCTGGGGTGTGTTGCTGAACAAAGAGACATTGAAATGCAGGTTCATCGTTCCTTGAAAGTGGAGTCACGGGTAGATAGGATAGTGAAGAAGGCATTTAGTATGCTTGTCTTTATTGGTCAATGCATTGAGTACAGGAGTTGGGAGGTCATGTTGCAGTTGATCAGGACATTGATTAGGCCACTTCTGGAATACTGTGTGCAATTCTGGTCTCCCTGCTATAGGAGGATGTTGGGTAGGCGATGGCCTAGTGGTATTATTGCTGGACTATTAATCCAGAGACTCAGGTAATGTTCTGAGGACCTGGGTTCAAATCCTACAGTGGCAGATGGTGGAATTTGGATTCAATAATAATCTGGAATTAAGAGTCTAATGATGACCATGAAACCATTGCTGATTGGTAGGAAAAAACAAATGGTTCACTAATGTCCTTTAGAGAAGGAAATCTACCATTCTTACCTGGTCTGGCCTACATGTGACTCCAGACCCACAGCAATGTGGTTGACTCTTAACTGGCCTCTGGGCAATTAGGGATGGGCAATAAATGCTGGTCCAGCCAGCAATGCCCACATCCCATGAATGAATAAAAAAAGACTTGAAAGGGCTCAGAAAAGATTTCATCATCATCATAGAATCCCCCCAGTGTGGAAACAGGCCCTTCAGCCCAACAAGTCCACACCAAACCTCAGAGCATCCCACCCAGACCCACCTCCCTGTAACCCACTAATCTACACATCCCTGAACACTATGGGCAATTTAGCATGGCCAATTGACCTAACCTGCACATCTTTGGACTGTAGGAGGAAACCGGAGCACCCAGAGGAAACCCACGCAGACACAGGGAGAATGTGCAAACTCCACACACAGTCGCCCGAGGTTGGAATCAAACCCGGGTCCCTGGTGCTGTGAGGCAGCAGTGCTAACCACTGAGCCACAAGGATGTTGCCAAGGTTGGAGAGTTTGAACTATAGGGTGAGGCTGAATAGACTTGGGCTATTTTCCCTGGAGCATCAGAGGGTGAGGGGTGACCTTAGAGAGATTTATAAAATCATGAGGGGCATGGATAGGGTGACTAGACTAGGTCTTTTCCCCGGGGTGGGGGAGTCCAAAACCAGAGGGCATAGGTCTGTTTCTGTGCTGTATATCTCTGACTCTGTGACTAACTATCCTAATCTTTCGTAAATGAATTAAATAGGCAATATGTTTCTGTTTTTTTCCCAGAAATTTAAAATAGCCCTTTACACATTGTCAATGACAGCTTCTGATGTTTGTCTTAAACTAATTGCGTTTCACTCAATTCTTTTAAAAATATGCTGGAACAGGGTTAGAGAGATCCTCTATTTTGAATTGTCAAATTCAATAAAAAAAGGAAGGCTTGTCACGCAGGAATAAATCCGTACAATTTTGTTTGCCAGGGTCTGTTCTTCAAAGGCACTCACCACTCCCTGATCGAGAAGTGTCTGGCATAAAGAAAAGGAAATTGGGCTTTTTTCACTAAGAGCAAGCCCTTGCTGACCTTTCTCCCTCATCACCATACCTGTGGCCTGGGATCTAGAACTGCCATTCAATAGACTTTGCTGCACTGTGATTACTGGCAACTCCTGGCAAGAGATAACTCTGACCAGGGTCCTTGATTACAAGGAATGGCTCACCTCTGCCCTGTCAAACTCTCTGCCTTAGTAAAGAGTGTGGTAGGAGCTGTTTGACTATTTTTAAGGAAGACATAGATGCTTTTTAGACAAGGAAATCACTTTAGTGTTATGAGGGGTCGCTGGGAACGTGGAATTCAAAGCGCAAACATATTAGCCATGATCCTATTGACTGTCAGAATGGCCTACTTTCTCCTAGTTTGTGTGTGCGCAAATTCCTGAGCAGCACATGGTGCAGCAGGTCTTCCTAGAAAAAGATGACATGAGGCTCTTGCTGTATCCTGTGACTTACCATAAAATTCTGGTCTATAATTGCTCTTAACTCCTTTATAAGACAAACAATTCTAGCTTTCATAATCCCTCTGCATAAATGACTCCCCTCAGCCCTGGCATCTCTCCGGTAAGTCTCTTATGCAATTTCTCCAAAGCCTTGACATCCTTTATGACATATTGACAAGTGCTTACACACAACTGAATTTTTTTTTTCCATCGCCGAAGTATTGACATCTTTTTTTAAATGTGGTGACCCAAATTGGAGATAATAGTCTACTAGGGTCTAATCAATGATTTATTTTAAATATAACCTTTTGGGCTCTGTTTGTAAAGCCAAAGATCCCATCCATGTCTTGAATAGCATCATTAATTTGACCTGCCACTTTCAAAGATTTATGTAGTTGAATCCCCAAATGCTGTTCTATTGTTCAGCTTATATTGCTAATCCTCATTCTTTTATCAAAAACACACCATCTCCTATTTCTTCTCATTAAATTTCAACTTCCAAGTCTCTACCCAATTCACTGAGTTCCTCCTTGAGGAAATCCTGTTGTGTTACCCTGAATTGCAATGATTATCCTCTGCCAAATCCAACGATATCACCTTGAGAGAATTAATCATCAGGACCGCACCCTGCCCAGGCTACTTGGTGTTATACTTGAATAAATGCAGTCTTGAAATTGGTGAGCTGTTTAGACTTGAAGCCTGCTTTGATTAAATTTCATTGTTAATACTGCTCACCTTTTTATTTCCTGTGTCTTTTTACTACATGAGCTAAAACAGTTGTCTACTACTTAACATGATATGCATTTATCTGTGGGGTAGATTTTTATGTTCATTTATGTTATGAATGGTAATCTGGAAGATTTGATCACATCTCCTTTACAGAATCCAAAGAATTTAAAAGGGTAGATAGACTGTTTTAATATGACCTGCAGCCAAAAATGAGTGATTACCTGAAATGTTCGAGCAAATTCCCTCATCCACAACGATTAACCTTTGTACGCAGGGTGTCCTATATTGACAGTATTAGACATTTTGGTTGCATTGATAAAGATAGGTTAAATATAATTCAATCTTAAGAGAACAGTGCACTGATATTACAATTTGTATTACCTTGCCTGGTATACATATTCTGTAATACATTGTACATCCAACTTTTATTCTATAATAATGCAGTATATTATTGGCGTCCACCATTCTGTGTTATGTAACTGAGTTGCTATCCCAGTTTGTGTTAAGGCTGTGCGTATTTCGATTTTACAGGTGAGCACATGCAAGTAGCAAGTCTGATGTCTGAAGGGTGCAATGTGACCTCATGCAATGGAGAAGAGCTTGTGAGTGATGGGACATTCACTGCACAATCTCCAATAATTCAGCCTTGTAATGTTGAAGATAGAATGAAATATGATTCTGACTGTGAGGGAAGGCCAAGATCACCATCAGCAAATGATGAGAGAGCGGTGAGGACCATGTGTTATGCTGTGCCATTGTTTACCATGAAATTTGTTTACTTTTTGTTTAAGGAGCATTTAAGTCAGTCAGTCAGTCAGTATAAGCAAAAATAATCTTGCAGAAAATAATAAAAAAAAACTTTGATATAATGTGATGTTAATATTAAACTCTCCCAAATCAGCAGATGTTCATTGATCTGCATGGAATTTCTTTGATAACTAAATGGCCCATATGTAGATGCAACAAAGCCTGAACCACGTACAGGCTTGCGTGGAAAAGCTGCAAATATCATTCACCGGTACCAGAGTATGATCATCTCCAACAAATGAGAATCTAACTGAGGCTCTTGAAATGAAATTACATTATTATAATAGTTTGAGTCTTTCACCACCAACATCCTGGTGGTCACTATTGACCAGAAATAACTCAACCAGGCACGCACATACTGTCTACAAGATCAAGTTTGAATCTGGGTACTCTGCAGAAGATGAATCAGTTCCTGATTCCCCAAAGCCTTCATACTACTTAAAACGTACATTCCAGGAGCCTAATGGTATAATCTCCACTTGCCTTGATGTATGTAGCTCTACCAACACTGATGGTGCTTTGTGTGACCAAGGACAAATGGGCTGCTTGATTAACAGACAAACATGCCTCCTAACCACCTCTATCTCTGGCAAAATGTGGTGCCTTCTTCAAAATGCATGCAACAACCTACCATGGCTTTGAAGCATCTCCTAAAACTATGATCTCCACCACCTAGAAGGGCAAGGGAACAAGGGAAAAAAAGGATTTTGAAGGAAAAATTGTTCCATCATTTTAATTGAAAACCAGAACAAGTTCACGGATCCTTAAGTCTATTTGTGCTTCTATTCCTTACAAATTAACGCCACCTCCAAATTCTTCACCAGGTCATTCGCTATCCTGGCTCGGCTATATATCTTGCTGTTCTTTCACCATTGCTGGGTTAAAATGTTGTAACACTCTAAGTCTCAGCACTGTCAGCACGCTGCAGCCATTCAAAAAGGTGGCTTGCTACTGCAATCTCAAGGGAAATTAGGAATAGGCACCAAAGTCCTGGGATTGAATACAATAAGGTATAGCATTGATTAAATACAGAACAACATTCCTTCTATATTGCCGTATTGTTAAATAGATATACAGTTCTTTGATTAGATATAGATGGAAGTTCCTTCTACCGTGTCCTAAAAATGATTCCTAGGGCACATGCTACACTGATTAGATACAGAGTAAAGGTTTGTTTCTGTTCATGGAGAATGCTACAAAGCTGTATTTCTTTTGCATTGAGCTTCACCCCAATGCTGTAGGTGGACTATCTTATTACTATGTACCACAAGTCTGTTTGGTTTGGGAAACACCTGTAGCTTCACAGGGTGCAAAGCCACAAGTAATTTTCAGTTCCCTCACATAAATTATGAAACTTGTGAGCTGTTAGAGCTTGAGAGCTATGTGAAACTTGGCATAATCTGTAGATTGTGGAGAATGACTTCTTCAGTTAGCACACAAGTGAAGTTCTGACATCTTGAGGCGGAAAGTGGCATTAAAAGACAGCGATCAGCAGAATTAGTGCAAGTAGAATTAAGGCATCAAACTGAGGTGCTGAAGTTGTTGGAAACTTTTGGTAGTGTTAATTGCACTTGATCAGAAATCCCAAGGTGCCACCTTTTGTATATTTAAATTTTAAAAAGTACAGAAATGGATTGATATACAAACCAATCAATTAAAATTTATAATGCAGGGGACAGTATTTTTTAAGGAAGGATATTAATGGTGACACATTGGAAACAAAACTGAGGGAAGAGGAAGACTGGGCTGTGTAACTCGAACAGGATATTGAGCAACAGATTCAGTAATGCTACACATTCAGTTGCAAGTTCTCATGTACACGTGCAAAGTGAAATGTGTAGTAAGTCCTGCTAATTTATTATTAAAAGCTATTTAAATTAATTTTAACATTGTACTGGTGCTGTTTTGTTTATGTTGTTTCCATTCCTCCACCTACCCTGGAGAAATCAATAGAAGGAGTCTGTATTTTCACAAAATGCAAGGTGAATTGAACAACGTTAATTAGAGATAAGAAGTAAAATTATACCAAGCCAAAGTGAGTCAATGATGATATGTTGTATCTTAACTTTGTAGGGTTGAGGTTTCTTGACGTAAAACCTAGGGTCAGTCACCAGATATCCACTTCAACATTTGTGGGTAGTTGCCAGTTCTGTGGTATGAACTTTGGTGACTTGGGAAAAGATGTTGAACTCTCAATTTGAAGTTAAGTAAAGGTAATGACAGAGTTAAGATTCAGAGAATTGGTACCATTTGTCCCAACCACAGCCCAATGTCAGTAGTAATCTTTGCTACTTGTGGCTATTCCATCCGGACTTCTTCCTGTCTATACACTACTTTTTAAGAAATTAAATAACCTTAAAACCAGTGGTTCAACAACTAACTCACTATTTTGATGCATAGATTCATAGAGATTGACAGCACAGAAAATGGCCCTTTGGCCCAGCACATCTGCGCCAGTCAAAAATAACCACCCAACTATTTCAAATCCCTTTTCCAGCAGTTGGCCACAGGCTTATTTGCTCTGGCATCACAAGTGCACATTTAAATACTTCTTAAATGTCAGGAGGGTTTCTGCCTGTACCCCCCTTACAAGCAGTAAGTTCCAAATTCCCACCACCTTCTAGGTGAGAGAGTTTTTTTTTCCCTCACCTCTCTAAATCTCCTGCCCTTTACTTTAAATTTATGATCATTGATCCCTCAATGAAGGGGAAACGTTTCTACCTGTCTACCCTATCTATGCCCCTCATAATCTTATACATCTTAATCATGTCCCCTCTCAATCTCCTCTGCTTTAAGGAAAACAACCCCAGTCTGTCCAATCTCTCTTCAAAACTGAAACTCTCCAGCCCAGGCAACATCCTGGTAAATCTTCTTTGCACAATCTCCAGTGCTATCATATCCCTCCTAAAATTTGGGTTCCAGAACTTGGCACAGCACTTTAGCTGCAGCCTAACCAATGTTCTATACAGTTCCAGCAAAACCTCTCTGCTCTTAAATTCTTAATCTTGACTCATAAAAGTAACTATATAATATGTTGCCTTAACCATTTTATTCATTTCTCTAGATGCCTTAAATGACCGTTATATATGCACACCAAGGTCACTCCGATCCTCGGTGCTTCCCAAAGTGTTACCATTCACCAGATGTTTCCTGCTGTGTTTGTCCCATCCAAGTGCATCACCTCACACTTATCCAATTGAATTCCATTTGCCACTCATCAGTCTGTCTGACAAGCCCATCTGTATCCTTTGTTTGGAGGGATATGGGCCAAGTGCAGGCAGGTGGGATTAGTTTAGTTTGGGATTATGGTCAGCATGGACTGTATGGACTGAAGGGTCTGTTTACATGTTGGATGACTCTATAACCTCTTGTTGTGTAAGGCTATCCTCCTCACTATTTATCACCCCCATAATTTTTGTATCGAGTGTAAACTTACTGATGGACCCTCCAAATTCAAGTCTAGATCATTTATATAAGCCACAAACAGCAAAGGCCCCAACATTGAACCCTGTATGAACCCATTGGACACAGACTTCGAGTCAAAGAAACACCCCTCAACCATTACCCTCGGCTTTCCACCACTCAGCCAATTGAGGATCCAATTTGCCAAATTTCCTTGGATCCCGTGGGCTGTTACCTTTTGCTATCAGTCTCCCATGCAGGACTTTATTAAAAGCATTGCTGAAGTCCAAGTAGACTACTTAAAGCATTGCCTTCATCTACACACCTGATCACCCCTTTGAAAAATTTAATCAAGATGGTCAGACATGACCTGCTCTTAATAAAACCATGCTGACTGCTCTTGATTAAACCGTCCCTCTCATGTGCAGATTAATTCTATCCATCAGAATTGTTTCCAGTAGTTTTCCTACCACTGAGGTTAGACTGATTGGCCTATAGCTTCTTGGTTTATCCTTTGCTTCCTTTTTGAATAAGTGTACCACATTGGCTGACTTACAGTCCTCTGGAACCACTCCTGTAGCCAGAGAGGAATTGAAAATTTTTGCGAGCAGATCTTCCCTCGCCTCGCTCTACAACCTGGAATACATTTCATCTGGCCCTGGAGGTTTATCTACTTTTAAGCTGCCAGACTACTCAGAACCTCCTCTTTATCAAAAGTAATCTCATTAATTGCATCATAGACCTTCTCCCTGACTTGTATACCCGTAATTATACCAATCAGTAGTGAATATCAACTCAAAGTCTTTATTTAGAACTCTACGTACATCCTCCGGCTCGTGCACAAATTATTGCTGTGGTCTTCAATGGCCCTATTCTTTCATTCGTTATCACCTTACCCTTAATGTACCTGTACACAAGGTAGGATTTTTTAAAAATCTGCCAGTATCCTTTCGTTTCCTCTTTTAGCTTTCCTGATCTCCCTTTTATGTTCCTTTTTGTACATTCTGTACTGTCTAAAGCTTATGCTGTTTGAGCCCTCTGTATCTGCCATAAGCCTCCCTTTTTCGCTTACTCCAAAGCTGTGCATCTCTTGAATCCCCCTCCACTAGATTCCAGTTGTTCTTTTTCCTCCTTTCTTGTTCAGCACTCCCACTCACAGTACCATGAATTTGGCTCCCACTGCTTTTCCCTGCACCGTCATCTCCCCAGCAGTATCCAAGATGATATATCTATTAGAAAGGGGATGGCCACAGGGGACTCCTGCACTACCTGCCTTCCTCTACTCTGCCTGGCTGTCAGCTGTGCTCTTTCTACCTGTTCAGTCTGCACCTGCTGCATGGCCTTTTCACTGTGCAATCCATGACTCGCTCAGAATTGTGGATGCTCCACTGTGAATTACCTGCAGCTCCAGCTCTAAAATGCGGTTCGCCAGGAGCTGCAGCTAGGCACACTTCCTCCACATGTGTTCACCAAAGACATTTGAAGCTTCCATGATATGGCACACAGTACAAGAGGAATATACCAAAGGTGTATATCAGAACTTGGCTGTTGTAACTTCATTTAAGGCCGAGTCCCTCTTTTCTAAAAGAAATGCTTATGTAAAAATATCGTTAACTTAATTCTTTAACCTACATGGCTTAATTATGCTCCTTTATTATTTCACTTATTCCTGTTGTTTCTCAGTTAATCCCTTCCTCTGCAATAATACACTTTTATTTCTAAAATCATGGACCAGGTACACATAATTTTCCTGTTTTGATTTGTTTTTCCAACCAGCAGACCCCTAAAGTTGCAGGTGTTAACCTGGGACTCCCTTATCTCTGCTCAGTCAAAACGGAAGAATAAAGCCTTACAAACTGTAAGCCCTGAAAAAGGACCTTTCAAACTACTAACAACAAATAAAGTACGTCTTCTGTGCACTGAATTCCCATGGTGCACTAAATTTCCAGTATCTGTCACTCATTTGGGCTGTGCCTTCTCCCACCTGCTTGTGTGAAGTGCAATCTAATAGTGGTTATCACATTCGCTTTGCATGTGAAAGGACCCTGGTTCAAAACCAGGTAGAAGCATTTACATGCAATTGCTGGGGGCACAGTAAAGATCTGATTCCTGATTTTCCCCCTCTGTTCAATATTTTCTCAAGGTAGTCTCTGAAAGGCCTAATTCTATTGTCCTCTGTCATGTCTCAAAATTAAGCAATATCAGAAGGCCTTAATTATCATGACATTTTGAGCAGAGAAACCTATTTCCATTGTAAAACTCCAGACCCACAAGCAGCTCGTTCAGGCAACAGCAGTGATGACTGGATTTACAAATGTAAATAAACCGAGTGACTCGCTGTCTCAAAGAGCCACTAGCATTAACATGTGCTCCAAAAGACCAATACAAGCCATACTGCAACTGATGAAATAACAGGCTAACAAATCACAGTGTATTGTTTTTCTTTATATAAGAGAGGAGGAGGAAAATTTAAACAGGGGGCTGAAGAAAGCGAGGCACATGCAGGTCTGGCAAAATACCTTCCTGAAACACCATGCCTTGTGACTAACTGACCTGCTTCTCACTGTGTTGATAGCCTTGTGAAAGAATCACTTCCCCAGTCTAGAACAGAACTGTCAATATCTTGGATGCTTGGGCGTATTGGAGAGTCAGTGCAGGGCCTGGTGGGTTATTTCTTATTTGTCCATGTCTTCTAACCATGGTTAGTGTTACTGTTTTCAAGTATTTAATAACTGTGTTTCTGCCTTTCTCAGGTGCAATTACGGAACAGACGAAAGAAGAAGGGTGAGTGGAAATCTGCTTTCTGAAGTCTGAATCACTCATACCTTAATCCCACTCCAAAGTTAGCATTCACAGCCCCAGTCTCTGACTGTCAGGAACCAAATTATACTGGATATGTCTACTTTTCTTCTGATATTGTAGGTTCTTGAAGATATGATACTTGGGACAGTTCAAATAGGGTAAAGTGGGACTACAGAGGGATTTGATAATTAGAATTTAAGAATTAATGGATTAGTGGTCAGGGATCTACTGTTGTTCAGTGGGGATGGAACTTGATGGGTAAGTGGAAAGTCGTGTAACTGAGCAGAAGTTCAGACGAGGTTTAGCTGGTGGAATAATGGAGAACTTATGATGGTTACTACTGATCCAAATGCTTAGACTAACACAGTTAGTGAATTTGAATCAGTTTTTAAATTTTTAAAAATTAAATAAAATGAATATAAAGATAATATTAATGGTGACCATGAAGCCACTGGTTTATATTAAAAACTCAACAGATTTACTAAATGCCTTTAAGAAATGAAACCTGCTGCCCTTACCTAGTCTGGTCCATTTATGACTGTAGGCAGGCAGGCATGTAGTCAGGCAGCCACTGTAGGCCTCTAAAGTTTGCTGACTCTCACTTGCCCACTGATAAGGCCTAACAAGCAATGGCCTAGTGGTATTATTGCTGGACTGTTAATCCAGACACCCAGATAATGTTCTGGGGACGTGGGTACGAATCCTGCCATGGGAGATGGTAGAATTTGAATTCAATAAATATCTGGAATTAAGAGTCTAATGATGACCATTAATTCATTGTCGATTGTTGGAAAAACCCATCTGGTTCACTAATGTCCTTTAGGGAAGGAAACTGCCATCCTTACCTGGTCATGCCTACATGTGACTCCAGACCCACAGCAATGTGGTTGACTCTTAACTGGCCTCTGGGCAATTAGGGATGGGCAATAAATGCTGCCTAGCCAGCAATACCCTTATCCTGTGAATGAATAAAGAAAAAAAAATGCCATTCATTTAAAGAGAATCATAAAACAGAATGGCCCTCACAGCCATAATCTGGCATTGGATTTGGATACCACAAAGAAATTCCACACCTGGTTGACCATGCAGAGTTGTCATTACTAAAGTGGGATTACTAAAGTGGGAGAGGTAGCCCACAGACTAGTTGAGGGCCAGAGTCTAACATTGATTTGATTACTAAAGATGACTATCACCCAGTTTCCCCGTCTCCTCCATCTCTATGCTGTGGCCTGTACCCCACCACAGCACAGCCCTGGGAATCTTCAACACTGACTTCAGACCTCATGAAATATGGGCAAGGAACATCCTGCTGGTATCAACCATTATCCTCCCACAACTGATAAATCAGTATTTCTCCATGTTGGAGCACATTTAGAAGAAGCACCAAGGACAGCTAGAGGACAGAAGGACTCTGGTGCAGAACTTCAATGTTCATCACCAAAAGAGGTTATATAATACTACTACTAGTCATATGCTGAAGGATACTGCTGCCAGATTGGGCTTGTAGCTGCTGATGGGAGAACAAACACAAGGGAAGACATACCTCACCTTGTTCTCACCGACCTGTTTGTCCATTACACTTTTGATGGGAATGACCATTCTACGGTCCCTTATGGAGACAAATTCCATTCAGTTCCTCTTGAGTATGTTCTTTGATGTCATATGTTTATCTGTGACAGGAGTTGCAACTGCACTTAGTCGTAGACGGATATCATGCAGGGACCTCGGTATGGGCGAGTGTTACGGCTGGCTCTGGAAGAAGAAAGAACAATTTAGATTCATGTCACAAAAATGGAAACGCTGCTGGTTTGTGCTGAAGGGACCAAATCTATACTGGTACAACAGTGAAAATGTGAGTGTGCAAGGACAGGTACCTGTTGGGGAAGGTGTGAGGAGCTGCCTGAAAGCCTCTTTTTTTTTGAATTCTCCTGGGAATGTGGATGTTGCTGGCTGACCTGTATTTATTGCCTATCCATAGCTCCCCTTGAAAAATGGTAGTAAACTGCCTTCTTGAACCGCTGCAGTCCATGTGCTGTAGTAGACGCACAATGCTGTTAGGGAGGGAATGCTGGTTTGAGCTCTGATTCGTGAAGAAATTCCAATATTAGTCCAGGTGTAAAGGATGCCTACTCCAAGCCAGAAGGGACCGATCTTAAATATGCATCATCAAATTCAGTGCTGCGCTGAGATTTTAACCTGAGACCTGATCACAAAAGTAGTGATAGCTTTCCTACGGCTGAAGGAAGGCCCAGTTAGGTACATTTTTAAACTGCTCCTCCAGAAATAAATCTCAGACTTCCTCTGCCCCATTCTTTTCCTGTTCTGTTCCCCTACCCAACCTATGAAACATCTGCCTTGAGCCTGGAACCATTCTTGTAGTATGTAAAAAGAGCTGCCTGTGGCAAATAATAAGTCAATTAATTGTCTTACCCCAGCCATTTTTATGTGGGAAATTATGACATTGCATGTCCAAGGGGCCCTGCTGTTGCAAATCAACCAAACCCATCAGCTATCTAGATGAGGCATATGACTCACCTTGGTGTTACAATTGAATCCATTGTGGCAGAACCTGCCTGTTCAACTTGCACTCCTACAAGTGTGATAAGGAGTGTCTTGTTTGAGGAGTGAACTGAGGCTCAGTTTGGAAAGTATATCTAATTGAGCTTCTTACTAAACTTAAAACACTGCAGGGACCTTTCTGAGCCCATGTTTTAATCTACAACACCTGTAACTGTGAATACTCTGGCATTCATGGGGCACAATGGGGCCATCAACAACAGAATTGTATGTAACCACCATCTGTAATCTCACAGCCTAGTATAACCCCTATTCTACCATAGCCATTAACACTGGTTCAATGAAGAGTGCAGGCCAGCATGCCAGGAGCAGCACCAGGCATATTTAAAAATTAGGTGACAACTTGATGAAGCTGCAAACAGGACTACTTGCATGCCAAACAATGGAATCAGTATACAATAGACCCAGCAAAGCTATTCTATAACCAACAGATCAGGTCTAAACTTTGCAGCCCTACTACATCCAGTTGTGAATGTTGATGGACAAGTTAAAAAACTAACAGAAGGAGAGACTTCACAATTATCTCTAGTCTTAATAATGGCGGAGGGAGTCAGCTTGTCAGTGCAAAGGACAAAACTGATGCATTTGCATCCATTTTCAGCCATAAGTGCCAAGTGGATGATCCATTTTGGTTTCCTCATGAAGTCTCCAAAATCATAGATATCTGTCTTCAACAAATTTTGTTCACTTATCATGATCTCAAGAGACAGTTGAAGAAACATTAGTACTGCAAAGGCTATAGGTCCTAACAAAATTCCAGCAATGGTACTGAAGACTTGTGCTTCAGAACAAGCAACACCCCAAGCCAAGTACAGCTACAACACTGGCATTTACCAGCAAGATGGAAAATTGTTCAGGTTTGTCCACCAAAAGGAGGACAAATTCAACTTAGCCAATTGTCAACAAAATCAGAAATTGTTGGAAAAACTCAGCAGATCGGGCAGTAAGTGTGGAGAGAAAGCAGAGTTAACATTTCAGGTCCAGTGTCCCTGAACACACTGAACCAACTTTGGACTTGTTCAGCAATTGCCTGCTCCCTCATGCACAGTTTGGGATCTGCCAAGGCCATTTAGTTCCCAACCTCATTATAGGCCTGGTTCAAATATTGAACTCCAAAGCGAGATGAGTGACTATTGTTGACCTTAAGACTGCATATATCTGGGTATAGCATTGGGGAGTCCTAGCAAAACTGTGGAATTAATGGGAACAAGGCGGAAACGTCTCTGTTACTTGGAGTCATACCGAGTGAAAAGGAAGATGGTTGTTGGGAGGTCAGTCATTTCCCCTTTGACATCACTAAAGGAGTTTCTCAGGGCTTAGGCCCAATTATTTTCAGCTACTTCATCAATGATTTTCCTTCTGTCATGAGGTCATAAGTGGGAATGTTTGCTGATAATTGCATAATATTCAGTACCATTCTGATTCTTCAGTCACGGAAGCAGCCTCTATTCCTTTGTTCTAAATCTTTGGATAAAGTAAAGCCACCATAGTTTTGGAGGATAATCGGGGTGCTATCTCATCAGAGACTGTTAGTGGTTTAACATGAGGGTTACTGTCAGGTGAGGGGAGAGATTGATGTTTATCTTCATGGTAACCTCAGATGGTGCAGCAGTTGAACCCATGCTGTTGGTTTCACTCTACATTGCAAACCAGTTGTTCAGCCAACTGAGCTAACCTACCCCTAGTTCTGGATAGCATCCAGGCTTGAGTTGATAAGTGGCAAGTAATTCACTCCAAACAAGTGCAAGATTATGTCTTTGAGAAGAGAGAGAAGCCGACCATCGTCCCTTGAGATTTAATGGCATAACCATCACTAAATCTCCCACTGTCAACATCCTAGGGTTTACTGTTGACCAGAAACTGAACTGGATTAATCACACACCTACAGTGGTCACAACAGCAGGTCAGAGGCTTGAAATTCTGCAGTGATTAACTCGCCTCCTGGCTTCCCAAAGCTTGTCCACAATTTATATGGCACAAGTCAGGAGTGTAAGGGAATATTCTCCACTTGCTTGGATAGATGCAGCTCTAACAACATTAAGAAACTCAACACCATCCAGGACAAAGCAGCCCACTTGACTGGCCACCACTTCCATTACCTTCCATGTTTGCACTTTCACCACCAAAACATAATGGCAGCAATGCATGCAATTTATAAGATGCTTTTCAGTACCCCGCTCAGGCTCTTAGGAACATAGGAACAGGAGTAGGCCATACAGCCCTCGTGCTTGTTTCACCATTCAACGAGATCATGGCTGATGTGGCCTAACTCCATATATCTGCCTTTAGCCCAAATCCCTTAATACCTTTTGCTTTAACAAAAATTTATCTCCCAGATTTAAACTGACCCTGCCGTCCCCTCCCAATTGTGGAACAGAGTTCCAAACATCTACCATTCTTTGTGTAGCAGTGCTTCCTAACATCTCTCCTGAATTGTCTAGCCCTAGTTTTCAAACTATGCCCCCTAGTTCTAGAATTCCCAAGCAGGGGAAATAGTTTTTTTTTCCTGTTAATACCTTGAAGATTTCAATCAGATCACCTCTTTACCTTCTAAATTCCAGAGAAAACAAGTCTAATTTGTGTAATCTCTCCTCATAATTTAACCCCTGAAACTTAGCATCTTCCAAACCTGCAACCTAAACCACATAAAGGGTAAGAGATGCATGGGAACAACATGACCACCACCTGCAAGTTGCCTTCAAAGCCACACACCATCTGACATAGAACAATATTGCTATTCCTTCACCGTTTCTGGGTCAAAATTCTGTAACTCCCTCCTTAACAGTGCTGTGGGTGCACCTACAAGGTTTAATAAAGAAGGCAGCTCAGCAACACTTCCTTGAGAAGGGATAGTCTTTAAATAATGGACTAGTCAGCAATGCCCACATCCTATGACTTTTTTTAAAAAAACTGTGTCTGTGGGGCTGAGGAAGTTCTGGATGAAATCGCGCTTACACTGCAAATAAGGCAACTACCCTGAATTTCTTCAGCATTGTTTGGGATGAAGCAATTCAAGATTAAATTAAGAAACAGACTCAACAAACACTAATTCATAAATGTGAAAAATGAATTATGTGATGATCACTTGTAGCATCTTTTTTGTGAGTTTCAGTGACAAGTGTGGCTAGTGACAGGTGAGTATTCCCACAATTGAGAATGGGAATGGCCCATGGCAAGTCTCTCACTCCCTACCTCTCTGCATCCACTCATTAGCATTTGACTGGCGTTTGGAGATCACTGCAGTTATTGGCAACACATAACAGGAGTTGTTTCATACCCTGGTGTAGCTTGTATGTCAGTGAATGGTGCATCACACCCCCATGCCATTACCACTTGAATTCCCTGACATCTTCCTGTTCCTCCTCCTTACCTCACTGACCAGCTTTAATTGAGACTGGAACTCTGAGTAATGGGGTCCACTCTCAATTAGCTGGTATGAGTGATTTCTTGTTTTTGCACTGAGATCAGAGTCCGTGTCTTGCTGGAATGGGGTAGAGAGGATAAAATGTTGCATTTGGTTTGGGGATGGTTTTTGTTCTGGCCGCATGGGGTAAGAAAATTAGTTAATGCATGCTTAAAAGGTTCAGAGGAAGGTCTGTTGGCTGAACTGTAAGGGTGAAAAGAAAGGGATGAAACAAATTGAAGTAAATTAATGCTTGTGGTGAAACTGTTTCTGAATAACTTGTTTGTGGTTCCTGAAAGGATGAGAAAGCTGAGGGATTAATCAAATTGATTTCATATTCGGTGGAGGCAGCTGGAGAGCACAAAAGAAAATTGTAAGTGTCTGAGACCCCTCTCCCCTTTTATATTGTGTACATCAGTGAATGTAAATTGTAGGTGGTGTGATCCGATATTGAGAGGACAGGGGAGTAATGCTTCCCATACACTTGGCACCAGTTCAGGAAAATTCTGGTAACAGGCTGCCTGATAGTTGCCTTGACTACAGTTGACAGGTAGCTTGGGAGAAGTAACAAGGGCAACAGAATGACCTAGAATTGGGGAGGGGCTGTGTATATTCTCCACCAAAACCTCTCTATACTGAGCAACAAGAGAGAATAACACAAAGTAGCTAAAGTTTCTCTGTTTGCTGTATTGAAACCTATTTATGATTTTAACCATATCTGTTCTGATTTTAATTCTGGTCAATATTTTATGCACTCTTTCCAAAATTCATCAAGTCAAGAGGGGAGTGAACACAATGTGATTGTGTGCCAAGTGTAAACACTCTGTGTCAAGGACCTTGTAGGGTGGTAGAGGGTTATATCATCCTGTGTATCTTAATTTTTAGTCAAACTGTCTTCCCCTCTCTCGGCAGTGTATTCCAGCTTTGTCACCAGAAGTTCAAGTCCTTTGTCTTTTCAGCAGACAATGTAGATGAAATGAGGAAGTAAGTAGTGCTCTTGATACAGCTGAAGTGGTATAGCTGTAAACTCTTAACATTGCATGTCATGCACTTAAAAAAAAGACTAAATTGAACATATAGATTGACAAGTGCTTATTCTATCTCCTGGAATATAATAAAGCAGCCTAGAGTTTTTGCCTTTGATGTGTGGTTGGAGATGGCTTCTTGCACCCTGTATCCTAGGAAACAATACCTCATGTCAGTGCTAACACTCCATATTTCAGCGATGACACATCCCTTGCTGTGCTTTTTTGCTCAGTGCAGTCTGTGGTGTCTCTGCTCCTAACTTTGTTCTTAATATATAGGTGGATTAACAGCCTCATCAGTGCCATTCAAAAGTACAAAACTGAGAAACCCTCTGAAAACAAAGAGGAAGGTAAGAAGCTCAAGGCAGAAAAACTTCCAGAGTTCCCGCCGAACTCTGAATCAATAAAATGTGTGTGTTGAATATAGCAGGAACTGGAGCCCAGCAATTGTTGCACAATCCTATACTGATTCACAGATATTGGTTCCCTGGGAAAAGCAACCTGTTTGAATTTATAATTGATAACATACTGCATTCATTGTAGCACGTGTGCAGAGTGATAATGAACCAGTGCAATTACAGGCGTTCAAAGTGTGCCATTAACAATATGATAAATAAATACATCTTTGAATAAATACTTTGCTGTACTTGATACTGAAACGTGGAGCATAGATTCCCAGATTCTTAGAGTTCACTGAAGTGCCAGCATACATAAAGTTCTGAAGTGGAGCTTCAACCCATGATTTTGTAATCCAGAAATCTGATTGCTACCCATTAACCAACCTAAAACTGACTATCTTTTCCAGACATACTTATTCATACAGTGTGGCATCACAGATCAGGTGCAGACCTGCAGATGTCTTGTTCTCAAAATCAAGATCATTGTTTTCATTGAATGTATCTTCTGTATTTAACTCTCCACCCTCCCCACTCACAATACCTGACCTTTTGCTGATGTCCTGACTTTCATTGGAATATAGATTCCATATGCTGTGGATACTTTCTCCAGTACCTCACCAACATGACCATTGTCCATTGCCAACAGTGTGAATTTTGGGTGGTGATTGGATTTGGAACAGTTATCACAAATCTTGCCTTTTGTGAGATTTAGCAACCAAACACTTCCCTAGCTAGGATCAATTAATTCAGCATTTGCTGGTCAAACCTGGGAATTTCCTAGTCTATCTGGCCATCTCCTTTTTGAATACACTGTGCCACTGGAGTCCCACTAGAAATAGTGGAATCAATCTTTATCTTGTTTTGGGAAAGGTTGGATCAGGGTTATTAATGTTATCATGGGTGATGTTGTTGACTTGCTTGCCGAGCTGGCTTGTTCTTGTTCAGATGTTTCATCACCATGCAAGGTGACATCATCAGTGGAGCCTCCGACCAAGCGATGTTATTCTACTCCACTTGGAATTTATACTGTTTGGTCCGTTGTGGTGAGTAGTGTTATTTCCGGTTTTGATCTGTATGGGGTTTGAATATGGGGTCCAATTCTATCTGTTTGTCGTTTGCATTACGGATGGAGAACCATGCCTCTAGGAATTCCCGTGCGTGCCTATGTTTGGCTTGGGCTACTATGGTTACCTTGTCCCAGTTAAACTGATGGCCTTCATTATCTGAGTGTTCCGATATTAAGTAGAGTTTGTCATGCCATCTTGCTGTTAGTTGATGTTCATGTGTTCTGATGGCTAGTTTCTTCCTGTCTGTCCGATTACCATGCAATGACTGCCACAAACATTTCATTGGACAGACTGGAAGGAAACTAGCCTCAGAATACATGAACATCAACTAACAGCAAGACGGCACGACAAACTCTACTTAATATCGGAACACTCAGACAATGAAGGCCATCAGTTTAACTGGGACAAGGTAACCATAGTAGCCCAAGTCAAACATAGACACACACCGGAAATCCTAGAGGCATGGTTCTCCACCCGTAATGCAATCAACAAACATATAGAATTGGACCCCATATTCAAACCCATACAGATCAAAACCGCAAATGACACTATTCGCCATAACGGACCATACAGTATAAATTCCAAGCGGAGTAGAATAACATCGCTTCAGCGGAGGCTCCATTGATAATTTCACCTAGCATGGTGACGAAACGTCTGAACGAGAACAAGCCAGTTCAGTGATGAAATCAACAACCTCACCCACAACCTGAGCTACAGATCTTGCCAAAACTTTAAATGTTCTCATGGGGTCTGGGGATAAAATGTATTTTCTTTGTTGTAATACATATTCCTGCCAAATGGGGGGGATGTAGTACCATCTATGTTGAGTGTAGCTCTACTGCACTCCCAAGCTTGTATTTAAAAAAAAATGACATGTTGTTGTGTTTGATTTTGCTTTTGTTAAAACTGATTACCTGTCTCACTGCAGACTGCTGGAGTGAGACAGAGACTGAAGAATGTGATGATTCTCCAGAAATAACTGGCACTCCTCGATCCAAATCCTACATTGTAAGTACTGTCAAATTTGAAATGAATAGAAAATAGGCAAAGAAAACATTCAACATTGTTTCAAAGTAAGCTGAATGAGGGAAAGGACCACGAATACTAGAGGTGATGCAGTAGCCTGCCAGTGGGTGTAAAAGATGCTGTGCGGCACTGACTTGCAGGACTAGGTAACACCTGACTTAAGTGTGGAATCTAATGCAATGCACTCTCTGCAGGAAGAAATACAGTCTCTTTCTGATCTGACCAGTCAGTACATCATAGTTCCTGCCCTCTTCTCCTCATTCCTCCACCCCCATTACTCTCTTGAATCTTCTGAAGGTTGTTATTCTCTTGTGGGTTACTGTTCTGTGGGTACTAATTGCTCCCTGAGACCTTGCCCTTGTAATCAATCTCCTGTATGACTAAATACTGAGAGCATTGATGGGATATTCAACAACAGGCCCAATGTTCTGCATTACCTGATGTTCATACATGGGGAATATTCAGTGGTTGTCATGATTAGCTGCTAAACCTGCCTTTAGAAAGGGATAAGAGATGGGAGGGAGTAGAATAAAGGGAGAAGGAAAGGGGAGGATAGAAGGAAGGAATTGATTGTTAGAGAATTGAAAATGCTTAATTTGTCAATAATAATATACTTTCATGAGTACTTAGCCAAACAGTAGCTAATAATTGTCACAATGAATCATGCCTTCATTTGTTTGTAGAGGAGCAGCGATCTTTCACCTACCGAACAATTCAGACATTCATCAGGTAACTACGGACAAGTTGGACGCAGTGGAGACACTGGCCGTCTTAGTGTGCCATCCAGCCCCAGTAAGGAGAGGAAGCCTTTTCCAGGTAGGAGCAATTGGACAAATCCTCAAAGCTGCTGATAGAATGTGTCTTTCAAGAAAATCTCATCTCTTCAAGATAATCTGAGTCTACTTGCCCCCATCCACTTTCCATACTCAAATGTTCACTGACAAATTAAATATATTCCATTCCTCATCAGTCAATTCCTCCCTCTGCTCTTCCTCCTTTCTCTCTGTGTCTCAGGTTCAGTGCCACTGTTTCTGTGTTCTCTTAACACAATTGGTGACATGAGCTTCTGGTTATATTTTGAAAACAGCTACAATGGTGGGATCTATCTGGCAAAGTTTCCAGATATTTCCTATCCAGAAAAGCAAGACAAGATCAATGTGGTCATCTGCCATCTCATCAGCTTGCTCAAACATCAGCAAAGTGATGGTAGGAGTCACCAACAATGTTATTAAGTGGCACTTATGCGCAAGTAATATGCTCTGTTTGGATTCAGTGAGGCAGACTCTGCTCCAGACCTCATTCCAATCTTTCTCCAGATATGGACAAAAACCTGGATTGTAGAGATCAGGCAAGAGTGACTTCCGTTAACATCAATGCAGTATTTGACTGAATTTGGCCACAAGGAATCAGTAAAATTGAAGTTGATGTAAATCTGGGAGAAACCACTTCACTATTTAGAATCATACCTAACAACAAAGAAAGATGGTTGCAGTGTTCTAAACACAACCATCTTCATAAGCTTACCCAAAGATCTTTTTCTCCACAATAACATCAGAAATGGGGATGTTCACTGACAGTTACAAAGCAGTACAGTTCTGTTGCAATTCCCTGGCTAATGAAGCAGTGCATACACATGTGCAGCATACTTGGACAACATCCATGTTTAGGCTGATAACGGTCAAGTATCATTTGCACCACTCAAGTGTCAGTCAATGACCATTTCAAAAAAAAAGTCTAACAACTTCCCTTGTTATTAAATCACATTAACAACACTGAACCCTGTACCATCTATGGTCATTATTGGCCAGAAACATAATAAACAGCCACATAAATGCTGTGGTGTCTAGGGCAGTTTGGAAGCTTAGTATTCTGCAGCAAGTGACTCATCTCCTGCTTCCCCAAAACTTTACCATCACCTACAAAAGTTTAAGTGAGGAACGTGATGGAATATTATACACTTGCCTGAATAAGTGGGTCTCTAACAATTCCTGAAGCTTAACACTACCAGTATGGAGCAGCCGACTTGATTGAGGCACTCAATTCACTACTTTAAAGACTCACACCATCCAATGCCAGCACAATGTGGCTACAGAAACCTATCAAACTTTTTTAACAGCCCCTCCCAAACAGACTACCACTTAGAGGACAAGGTTAACATGTGGAACATCAACTCAAAGGTCCCCTGCAAGTTAAATAACTGCCCTTACTAGGAAATATATTGCAGTTCCTTTATTATTACTGGATCAAATATCTAGAACAATTGTGGGAGTACCTTCACACGAGCAGTATTGTTTGAAGAAAGCAGTTCACCATCACTTTCATGGGCAATTAGGGAGTGGTAATAAATGCTGAACTTAACAGCAAAGCTCACATCCCATGAATGATTAAAATTAAAGAGAAACATCCTCTACCATCATCCAACAGTAGGATTGCCCTCACCTGATTCAACTCTTATTTTTCTTATTGTGGTCAGGAGCTTAGCAAAACTGATCCTCTTTTGTTTCCTGTTTGTTGCCCCTGGAATAACCCCCTCCCCTCGCCAACACAAATATCTATCCACAACCCTTTCCTTTTCCTACAATCTGCTGCCATGCACAAGAAGAGGATTGCATTGGGCTGTTGTTTCTGTCTCTGCATTGTTAAATCATTTCCTGGCTTTCATTGTTTAGATCTACAGATAGGAAATAAGCTCCTAGGTGAGGTATTTGTAACTGGTCAATATCAGTTGAAATGCACTCCCGAATTAGCACTTTGGGGGATGTGAGCAAAATCTATGTACCTGGACAAGTAGAATTCTACAGAACTACTTCTTGTTGAGTGAGGACCAGTTCCAGAACAGCCTCAGTGGAAGCTTTGCATTGAATTTATAAACAGATGTCTGTTTCCTTAGGGTCACAAATTTCTGCCACTTCAAACTTTTTAGTTCACACCTAAAAAATATTCCACACAATTAATTAAGGTTTAGTTTCCTCTAGTAGTGACTGATCAACTTATCGGAATTTAACATGTTTGTGAATTCATTCAATGTAGCCGTAAGTCGATTATTTTCATGTGATCAATAAGATATTTGGGTTTTCCAGGGATATAGTAGTCCATTCATATGAATCAATTTTGACCACCTTAGATAAAGTGGTTTAAAAAAAAGCCAAAGGAATTCCAGGACCTTGAATTTCCACTTTATACAACTGTTAGGAAACAAGATTTTTCAGTGTCTGTTATGGAAGCTTACTGAAGTTTCTGTCCATTTGTTTTTAGAACCTGGTCAAGGCTCAAATGACGAGCTGGAGACATTAATAAGAGTCTTGCAGCAGGAAGGTGTGTCACTGATCGGTAAGGAGCAACCCTTTCACAAAGATTACCATTCGTCATTCATCAGACGAAACAAGAATCCCATCATCAATGAGAAAGCACATTATCTGAGAACACTGCAGAGCACACTGAAGGCATGTGATTAGATTAATACCATTGTGTGGTTTGTCTGCATTGTGATTTTTGAAATTTTTTACAGTAATCACTAATCCTTATTATTTGGATATTTTCAGGCAAAGATAGTAGATTTACAATCCATTAATAAGATCCTGGAGGATCCGAATTTAACAGCAGAAAAGTTTCGAATTTGGAAAGACAAAAACCAGGAGCTACTGGCAGACATCCGGAAGGTTCAGCAGATTGCAACTGAAGGATGGGAAGAGGGAGCCAAGCAGTTAGCTCCTGAATCAGGAGCGTTTATGACAGAAATGGGAATGGGTGCCTCAGAAAATCCTTTACCTTGTTCTGATATGGAACCAATGTCAGCAGAAATCTCAGCATCCCTGTCTGATATGGAATTGGAGAACATAAAAAGACACTGTACAGACAGTGCGTCTTCAAAACTGGGAATTGGAGAAGACAATTGTATAGAAGGGTTGAATTGCCAACCAGAATCTGGCACAGACAGGACTCAGAGCTGTCCCAAATCGTCTAGCAACTCAAGATCTGTACTATGGCAGCCTTAAGATCAGACCAGATCAATGAGGAACAAGAGAAATGAACCCCTATGTATGAGCATGAAGCTAAGCCTTGTTTATTCAGCTCATTGCCCTGAACAAATTGAACAAATTTGGCAGTCTCCCAGTACTAATGTTCATATGTCTCTTAAGACTATTTCATTGAACAATATCATTATTAAGCATGATCCTATATTCAGTTGGTAATCACATGTGCACTTCTAGTGCAGACTGCTGGATTGTGATTAGGAGAGGATGCTGTGGCTGATTGTTCTCTCTTTTACCTTATTGCCAACCAAGGGTGGCACAGTGGTTAGCACTGCTGCCTTACAGTACCAGGAACATGGGTTCACAGGTTAGATAGATTGGCCATGCTAAATTGCCCGTAGTATCCAGGCATGTGCAGCCTAGGTGAATTAGCAGTGAAATGCAGGACTGTGGGGATAGGGGGTGTATTTGGGTGGAATGCACTTGGAGGGTTGGTGTGGACTCGATTGGCCAAATAGCCTGCTTCCACACTGTACGGGTCCTATGATTCTATCCTTGAGTACTAAGACCAATTTTAACATACTTAAAACTAAATCAGGTGAGACCAGCTAACAGTAGAGAATGATAGTCAAATATTGTACTTCTTCTGGATACTGTACTCTTTAAAGGATCAGTTTGAACCTTTAAATTCTCCTAAACTTTATGCTGAAGATATTCTGTTTGGTGCCATTCTCAACTTGTTATTCTGTCTCTCTCCTCGTCCATAAAGAAACAATTCACTCTAGCAAAAAGGATGTAGAGGCACTGGAGAAGCTGTGGAATAGGTTAACGAGGAAACAAATGGGTGAGTTTACATATAGGGAAAGGATTAATAGGCTGTGTCTATTGTCTCCAAAAAAGGAGTGAGCAATGACCTAATTCTGCTGCTGCTGTTTGTAACTACTCCTGTTAGGAAATCTTTTATGGTATGCCTCACTTACCTTGTACTAGTTTCTTGCATCCATTGCAGCTTGTCAGTAATCACTCCGACATCCATCAATTCTGCTGCCTTCCACTTTGCCTTAGACCTTTTCAATTCTAAGCAAATAGCTGAAATACTGACATTTTCTTGTCAGGATGTCATTCTTTAGTGTTCTGTTTGCTCTTTCAATTTAACGCATCTCATTTGTTTTTGATCCATAAATGGAATTTTTAGCGTGCATCCTGGCATCCATATTTCATGCACCTTCATGTTCTTCCGTGAATCTTTATATAATTGCCCACATTTCTGAGGCATACAGAAAAGTGGATAGAGTATGATATCTTGTGAGCTTTCCTGTTGATACATCCTTGCAATCACTTTGGCAGTCTCTAATCTAATATATACATCAGATCTGGCATCTTCAGTTATCATTTGTCCTAAAGAGACAAACTTAAGTACTTGTTCCAGGATGACACTGTTTATTTCAATCTTCATTTTAGTTTCTTCTAATTATTCTGTTGAACCACCATTGTTTTGTCTTTTTGGTGTTCGTACTCAAGTCATATTCTAAATTTCTGTAATTTCTGTTATCTCTTCTAATTCTGTTTCTCCAAAGGCTTTTAGAAATTCCGTTGTTACTGCATCAATACCTGGGACTTTTCCTGTATTCACTAATTTCAGAGCATTCTTTACTTTTCAAAACTAATTTTTGGTTATTGTTGCCTCTTCACCTTGAGGAGTACCTCAACTTGGATCATTGTGTGTGTGCGTATATATAATATATATATAAAATTTATGTATTCTGTCCACCTTTATTGGAGCCTAATAGAGATCTTTAATTTTTTTGTAATTATGCCAATCTTTTGATAGCATGGATAAAAAGGGAATGTTTCCTCTTGGGGTGGGGAAGAGCATCATTAGAGGTCATCAATACAAGATAGTCACTAAGAAATTCAAAAGGAATACTGAAGAAACTTGCAGTGTGGATTTTGCCACCACAGTTGAAGTGAATACTATAGGTGCATTTAAGGGGTTGCCAGAAAAGTGCATAAGGGAGAAGGGAATAGTGGGTTACTGTGATAGATTGTAGATGATGTTGAATGGATGGCTAAAATTGAGCATGACAATGGCATGGATTGGTTGGGCCAAATGGCCCATTCCTGTGCCATATATCTTTGGTAATCCTATGATGTACACTTTCATGGGCAGCAGTAGTGGTATCTTGCTGCTTTCCTGCACGAGTCTGATTTCTGAATAAGTGTTGGTTATGTATTAGGTAAATGATCATAAAATAACTTGGAGAATACTGGGGAGACTCGTGACTGGTTAACTCCTGACTACAGCTAGGTACAGTATACAAGACATAATAGTCGTGGTATCCAGTACTTAAGTGATCAAAACATGACATAGCAATTATGAAGTTGACCTCAATAAACCTGGCATCCAAATGTGTTCACAAACAACATTCAGCGCCCAGATGCTCATACTGTGGGTTGACTCCAAAGCAGAACAGTAAGCCATTTTTTCAGGACAAATGAGTATGGTCAATGAATGCTACATCACTTGTACTACTAAGAAGTTTTAATGTTTTGACTTTGAGTGATTTGGTTGCTATTGGAAAATAAATTAAAGTTATACACTGTATATATTACTTTAATAAACCTGAAAACATTAAATGTATTTTACCTTGTTTCCTTCTGTTCTCAACTTTAATGGGATTGAGTGTTCTATCTCTGGATTGGACACTGATGTGTGCAATGCAGTAAATACATAATAGGACAAAAACCTTTTGACAATTTTAAACATGACATTCGACCAACATATCTTGGGAAATTAAGAAAAGGGCTTAAGGAAAATTTCTTCATTAGTGTTTTTAAAACTTGAACTTGCAAAGCCAAGTGAAAACCAATGCTGTCAAGAGAAGCAACAGAAATAATGCAGACCTGAAAGAGTTATGAATATTTTAGCTTTTGAAGACTAAACCTTGGATTAAAGGTGAAGCACAGTGTTCCAATAACATCCAACATCTTTTTCTGGAAAGCTGGGTGGCACAGTGGTTAGCACTGCGGTTCGATCCCAGCCATGCGCGACTATCTGTGTGGGTTTTGCACGTTCTCCCTGTGTTTGCATGGGTTTTCTCCCTCAGTCCAAAGATATGCAGGTTAGGTGGATTGGCCAAGCTAAATTGTCTGTAGTGTCCAGGGACATGCAGGCTAGATGGATTAGCCATGGGAAATGCAGAGTTACAGGGATAGGTTGGGAAGGGGAGTGTCTGTGTGGGACACCGTTTGGGGAGTCAGTGTGACTCGATGAGCTGAATGGCCTGCTTCCACACTGTTGAGATTCTATGATTCTACAATGAACTTCAGTGGAAAATTACTGGAGAAAATGAAAGAAAGATGGATTCAAATCATAGCTTAAAGAATAGGTTTGTATTTTTTAATTGAATGGTGTGGTCAATATTAAACTAGGCATTTTGTGAAAAATGGTATAAAATGTTAAATATGTAAGATCTTTATTGCAGGCGTGAGAGACTAATGAAAGGATTGAGATCTCAAGAAGAGAGCCTGATTGATTATTGTGAACATTTAAAAAAATCAACCACAGCAGCTGGCTGCTTGGGATGATTGTACAATCAAAATTAATAATCTAATTGAGAATTCTGACACAATCTATTAGTGAAGCATTTGTTGCTGAAGTTAAAAAAAAAAACTTTTTTTCATTTTCTCAGTCTGTTAAATCAGTAATCAATTTAATTTTCTGTAATAAAAACAAAGTGCTGGAGAAACTCACCAGATCTGGCAGCATCTGGGCAGAGAAGCCAAGTTAGCATTTGAAGTCCAATATGACACTTCTTCAGAATGAAATGAATTAGACTTGAAACGTTAACTGTGTTTCTCTCTGCCAGCCTGCTGAATTTCTCCAGCACTTGTTAAAAATTTCAGTATTTGTAATATTTTTGCTTTTAATTTGCCTGTAATTAGTCAAATTGGTGCCCATTTCAAATCTGTAAACATGAGTACAAAATTAACTCGTTTAAGCATCTTAGTCGTCAGTTTGTTCTCTTGTAATTTGCAGGTCGAAGTGAACAAAAAGAGAGAGAGGGTTTTAAGACTTTTCCTGTAACACCACACATTCACTCAAGTAAACACTACCTTTTGTAAGCTAATCTGATAATCCCCAACCCCACTTTCCTGCATTCTCCCCATAACTCTTGATTCCCTCATGGTTTAAAATTCTGTCTATCTCAGCCTTGAATGTACAATCCAGCCTGGACAGCTCTCTGCAGCAAAGGATTCTTAAAACTTATACTTTAAACTCTGGAGTGGAATATAACTTATTTTTAACCCAATTGAGAAAAACCCACTTCACAGCTATATGTTAGCTATATTCTAATTAACCTCTGGAATGGTTGGGACTTGAACACAATCCTCCTGGCTAGAAGGTCTTTTCAAAGCAACAGGATCTTCCACCTATATGCTGCCACAGAACTATTGAAACTTTTAATTCTCTCTCTCTCTTCCTCACCCAGATCTGTGCCTGAGTTTTCAGGGATATCTTCGAAATCCTTCCCTCCTCAAAGTCAGTTTCCATGGTATGTGAATCATGCATGCCTTGCATCCTCGTAAAATTGCTAATTAGCTTTCCTTGAGAGCCCAACTGTCTTCCATTTTGGAACTAAAAGGGTAGTTTAAAGCACGACTGTTTGCAGTCCAATATTTTCAACACTTTTCTGGAATCTTGGACACTTTCCACCTCAATGCTGTTAGCCCACAGGCTGCTGCCTGTATCTGTAAAAGTAAACACCTTGCATCTTTTTCATTGTAGAATAATCTCAAATAATTAAACTAGCCAGGCTTTGTCTTAAGTACACTTTAGAACAGGTGACATGATCTTCTTCATTCCACCTTAAAAACCCAGTCACAAAACATAACAAAACTGTTAAGTTCATGTTTGTAACTCTTTCAGATGTAGGGACATCCCAAGTGATATCAAACATCCATATTGACTCATGGGTTGCAATTAACCAAAACAGAGTTGGTTAATTTGGGAAGGAATCAAAAGATTTTGTCAGGAGAATGCAGAGGTGAATGTGATACAATAGAGACCACATAAAAGAAAAACTTGATCTGCCCAACCCTTAAAGCACAACTCGTCGCCCCCCCCCCACCCCACAATGTGTCAGAATCTAGTGGATGAACTGCTGGCCAAACATACTGTTTGTAAAGTTCCAAGTTCCTACATTACAATTACTCTACGAAAGCACTTTGGAATGTGCTAATATTATAAAATGCACTTAGGAAAGAAAAAACAACCATTTGCAGACTCATGCTTTGTGGGTGTTGCATATTCAGCAGGTTCATCACAACTACCCAACCTCTACCACTCCTCTTACCTAGTGTAACTATTTCTCAATTCTGCCAATGGTACCCTGGCTTATTCCGTTGGTAACAAGGTGTTGGCTTCCACTTACGTTTCTTAAACTTTAATTGAAAATATAAATATTTTCATTGTTACTTAGAAATCTGGCTGTGGTTTTTCATAGTCTGGGTGTGGTTTACAGTGTGTGCTACCTACAAGATGAACTGTAGCAACAGCTCCTTTGGCAGCCACTTCCCAAAACTCTGCTTCCACCACACAGCAGGACAATGGCAGCAAGTCCATGGTAATGCCATTATCACCAGGTCCTACATCATATTGACTAAGACAAATATTGTCAAAATCCTGAATCTTCAAAACCGAAAATTATGGTCGTATGTGCTGGCCTTGCTAAGGATATGCTGAAATTAAATCACATGGTTGAAGGCACCTTGCCCATTTAGTTCAGAGATAGTAGGAACTGCAGATGCTGGAGAATCCGAGACAACAAGGTGCAGGGCTGGATGAACACAGCAGGCCAGGCAGCATCATAGGAGCAGAGAGGCTGACGTTTCGGGCCTAGACCCTTCATCAGAAAAGGGGGAGGGGTAGGGGGTTCTGAAATAAATAGGGAGAGAGTGGGAGGCGGATAGAAGAGGGATAGAGGAGAGGAAACAAACAGGTCGAAGAGGCGGGAATGGAGCCAGTAAAGGTGAGTGTAGGTAGGGAGTTAGGAAGGGGATAGGTCAGTCCAGGGAGGACAGGATGAGGTTGGTCGGTAGGAGATGGAGGTGCGGCTTGAGGTGGGAGGAGGGGATAGGTGGGAGGAAGAACAGGTTAGGGAGGCAGGGACGAGCTGGA